GCGGCTGAGTTCCCGAAATCAAATGGCTGAATTGGCAACACTGTTAACTGTGGACTCAGGGAGTGGTGACTGATATATCAGTTATTACTGCAGTGTAACTGCACTTGTTCACTTCATGCTGGACAGTGAGCCTGCACCTCTTGTGACTCCTGTGTGTAAGTAATATTTATTATTACTACAACTTGCCTTTAACACAGTCTTAGGGGAACTAATTGGTTTTGTCATTATATTTAAAAATTATATTTAAATCAGGTATTATTTCCACATTAATTCTAAATAGGTATTGTGTCTTAGTACTGTGTCGTTCCCATTTTGATTAGTTTGGTTTCAGATTTTATATTTGAATTAATAAGCGTTATTATAACAAAAAAGCTAACTCATCCTTATTTATTTTGCAGATTTCAATATTATTGCTCAACTTTTGGAGGCCATGTCAATTTACAAGTACTTCAAAAAGATGGATAGCAATCATGAGCCTGCAAAACCTGTTGCAGTTGGTGCAGCAGTTTATGCAACAAGAAAAGATGATGTTTCAAATCAAGATGGAGCTGCATCACAGGACTTCACAGAGGAAGAGGAGGTTTCCAAAAAAATGCATCTTCATCACATAAAAAGCGACGAAAACGGTGGAGTAATGAGCACATTGTATTTGGATTCTTCCGGCCAGTACTTGAAGCTTCAAATCCCTTCCCTCCAGGCAAGTGCTTCTTATGTAATGCTACGTACAGTAATGAAAATTTTGTACCTTCAAAACTTGCACGGCATTTGAAGACGAAGCATCCTGAACACCAAAACAAATCAAAGCAATTTTTTTAGGCAACTTTGGAAGAATACTTGAAGCAACAGTCGACCTTTAAAAGTCAAGTTAAGCCCTCTGACATGAAAGCACTTTCTCGTGCTTCTCTTAAGATGACACACATCGTTCTTCAGAAGAAAAGCCATTCACTGAACTTGAAAATGTTGTACTGCCGTGTCTTGAAGTAGCAACTGACCTTATACATGGAGGGAAAGATGCAGTGAAGAAAGTGAAGCAGATTCCATTGTCGGATACTTCAATAAGTCGTCGGTTTGTGATGTTGGCAGATGACCTGAAGGAACAGCTTGTGAAAAAAATTGCGATTAGCCGCTTCCTTTAGCGTTCAACTGGATGAAACCACAGAAATAGGAGGAGAAGCACAGCTGATTGTTTACTGTCGGTTTCCAGACTTAGAAGAGAAAACCATTGTTGAACATTATTTGTGCTGCCTCCAACTGGGCGTAGAAACTGTGAGAGTTTTAGTGAATTTGTGAGTTTGGAATAAAATGTAATTGGTATAAGGAATTGAGCTCGGAAAATTTCTAAGAATTTTCTTTATTCTTTAACCTTTATTCCTGTCGTGATATTCAACAAGGTCGCCTGAGGAAGGACTTGCTTAGCTAACACACCAGTGTAGTAAGCAGCTCATTCCTCACTTTGGGACCATGTATGAACAATTGACTAAGCGCGAGCAAACGCCGAGACCCCAATGAAAATTGAAATCTCCTCCACTAGGCCGACGACCTTCGCCATTCGCCGAAGCGAATCTAACGAGTAGGTCCTGGGCTCTCACAACAATAATTTATTGTTGTGTGGTGCCGTATATTTGGTCCAAAGCTCAGAATCAGTCTCAATTTTATTAGTCGAGTGTGAAGAACACTTGCATAACAATAATAATGTGTGGGGTGTAACGAAAAGACAGTGTTAAACATAACAACTTAGTTTATTCAATAAAGTACTAACTACTACAACAAAACAAAAGGAAATGTCAATGACGTTACTCGAAATCCTTCCTGTGACACTATCAATGACAGCTAGACACCAGCCCCTTGGACTGTATAATGAACTAACTCGAACATAAGCGTGACCACAGAGGAATCAACAAGAAACAAGAACTAACAGATCTATAATCACAATTACAACAAATGACACAGTGGGTTCTGAAACACGTCTCCAGTAACCTCCTAACTGTTCTACGCCTCAGTGCAGTCTACACCTGCAATGGCGGTTGCAATGCAATCAAATCAGTAGTCTTTCAATGACACCAATAACTAATGGGTTCACTGGCAACTCCAGCACCACTCACAACACGGCTCGGTTCGCACCCTCGACCCACCGGTGAAGTGAAGCGTTCGTACCCAGGTGACGCGCACAACGATAGCGTCTCACACAAACATGGAAAATCTGCCTGACACGAATTTCCCCATTCCCATCGACTGCTACAGAGCACTAGCAAGTCTAATCAACACTGGTATGGGATCTACGAGTCTGTTACTGCTCGTATGCACATTATCCCACAATCCCAGATCACTATACCTCTACCCACTGTACACAATGTCTTTCTTCCCTCCAAGCGACGACTTCGGCCGGATTCTGTGATGACCCTGTCGTAGGTGAAGCTGGAAGTGAAGCAGTTGGGTAGTCCAGCCACCACGACGCCCTATACTCAATTTGGCCGAATTGAGTACAGAGAAGCGTCTTGACAGAGTGGCAGCTGGGTTCAGAATGATGCTTACACCGACGATTCCCACGTCCTCCTCGAAATAACCAATGAGAGGAAGGCATACAGCGGCCTACCTCTCTCACCCAATCAGCGATGGTGTAGCACAGCCGCAGGGCAACTCCAAGATGGCCGACCAACATGGCGGCTCAAGATGTTAACTAAGATGGCGGCTGTTTCCATGACGACGACTCGAGCGCGGGAGGCCCACAGCTCACCCACGCCTGCGGCCTAGCTGTTCCCGCGCAAAGTGGAGTCTCGCTCCATGCCATACAATAAGATGATGCTATCAGCTCTAGCACTGTCCACAGACGTGCTACCCCGGCCAGGGTAACATTTCTGGACTGCTGATGACTGGGGCTCTCACATGAGCCCAAACACTAGATGTTTCGGTTGCTGGTTACCAAACTTAAGTCCGCCCACTAAACAAGTGCACTTAACATGTGTACTGGCTCCCACAGGCATAAGAGCACTATTGTAAGTGAGCTGGTGAACCATCTCCTCACAGAAACAACAAAACACATTTTTTAGAAACTTCATGATTTTCATTATTGAAGAGGGCACTGATTGGTCAAATGCAAGTCTGTTACTAATGATGGTACAAAATCTATGGCCGGTGCAATCAATGCTGTTGTAAAGAAAATCCGAGCGGTCTCACCAAATTGTATCACAATTCACTGCGAGATTCACAGGGAAGCATTAGTGGCAAAGTGACTGAATGAAACTAGAAATGCTAAGGAGAACAGTCACTTTGAGCTTCTACTTAATGATGCTGTCAAAATGGTTAATTATATTTGTGCACATGCAAAAAAGCATAGAATATTTCGTGAGTTGTGTAAGGATATGGAAGCTAATTTCACAAAACTCCTAATTCATACTGAAGTACGTTGGCAATCTAGGGGTAAGGTTCTTAATCGAGCGTTCGCATTGAGAGAGCAGCTCTCTTTTTTCTTTACTGAGGAAGCAAACCCCATGGCAGTTAAATGGCAGGATGTGCTCTCGTTGGCAAAATTGTCTTGCATGGCTTCAATCTTCGATCATCTGAACAGACTAAACATCAGTCAGCAAGGCAAAAGTGGGGATATCTTTACAAGTATAGGGAAGACAAAGGCATTTAAACTAAAGATGAAACAATGGAAAAGCAATGTAGAAATGAGGTGCTTTTCTGATTTTGAATTATTTGACACATTTATGAGAGAATGTGGCTGGGAACATAGTATGCAGGCAACAGAGCAGACACTGGAGGTACATATGTCATACTTAGTTATTAGACACCTTACTTTAATGCAAGAAAATCTTGACTTCTATTTCCCAGACAGTGAGAATGACTAGCTGACATCCAACATGTGGATGCTTAATCCCTTCATAGATGAAGGAACTGATCATTGTGATGCTCTTTTGAAGCTTCAAGTGGATTATTCACAAAAAGCAGTTTTCCAGACATTTAGCCATCCCATGGATTTCTGGGTCACCCTGCTTGATATTCCAGAGTACAAGGATGTCGGAAAATCCGACACCATTTAATAATATCATACAGGCAGATAATATTGCTGTGTTGTATAAACAAGTTAACCCATAGAAAATGTAACTTGTAGTGGAATTTCCGTCTATAGAAAACGGGATATCATTACCACATACTATTATAAATTCACCACCTATTATGGTGGGAATTATTCTTAAATACATTAGTCTTTGGACTTTACCATCATAAAAACATCTCATATAAATTAACTTAATTATCAGAATTAAAATAGAGTAAATGTGACCCTTCTATCACTTACTGTCATCTGGACAATGTAGGCCAGTAGCGTCAGTGAGGAGGGAGTGGTCAGCCATTGTTATTGTTTAAGACCACAGAGTCGTGGAGCGAATTACGGCTCCTATAAATTCTCTTGGACGAAGTGTTATGGAAGATCAGAGTAGTGATCTGCCATCATCAACACGCTGTCATCAATCTCAAGGGAAGTGTCTTTCCGAAACCCATTTATCTAATCATTTTTGGCCATTAATGTCAGTAGACAGGGTGGGCCGGTTAGATCACAAATGATCGACTCAAACAAGGTAATTAAGCCTAGGTCTTTATGGTTCCTTGTACAGTGTTTTCTCTGATATAGCTGTCATATATTAGGATTCTGGCTTCATAGCTAGCGCCCTTTTGACAGGTCAAGACGAGGAAGCATGCTTTGTGTACCAGTTACTGGGTGATGGAAGCTACCTCAAAGAGGATAATTTGGTGTCTACATCCTGGTTATACCTGGTGGACTAAGGCCTGCTGTACAATAAGATAAGGAACCTCTTCAATGTATGTAGTCTAATACTGTAGTTTGATTGGCTGCATATATATAAATTTAATATAAACCCCCCCCCCTAATGTGTAGAGGATCGATTTGTGAGATTATTGCAGAAATACAGTCCACTTATCATCATACCAATTGCTATCGAAGTATATAAATTAACGTAAATATAAATTCATATAAATTAAAT